CCGCCACCGCCACTGCTAATAAAGCAGGTGCTTAATGACAAATAGGTAGCAGGTGTGCAGCCGGCCAGAATTCACCGCCTGCCACCTACTGTCGAAAACGGGACATGACACCTTTATTATAAATATTGTATCCTGTTATTATTATAATTTCTATTATGCTGATTTATTTATTTATTTATTTATTTTTAAACAAGCTTGATTTTTTTTGGGGGGTGTCCCACCAGGCTGGTGGTGCCCTACGTGCTAGTGCGTGATCGGCATATGCCAAGCGCCGTGTCTGGATGCACAGGTGCCAAGATTCGGACCAGCCAGAATGGCCCCGAACATGAGCTTTATACGAAACATGCTAAAGATGACGTGTATTCAATGTACACACTACTTGAAACTTTCACAGAAAACAATCCCAAGATTGTTCACTATTCTTTCAAGTGAAAATTTGACATAGGCCTTTGTGCAATTTTGCTTATGCATTCCTGGTGAGCACCAACATGTAACTTCAAATTTGCTGCTTCACGCTTGAAGACAGGATAAAAGTAATAAAAATGAAAGATGGAGGAAGCAAAGTAAAATACAGGTACATTATGCAAGAAATTGATGTAAGTGAAAGTGAATGCCGATCGTAAATTTTGCAATCCCTTTCCCAATTTTTTCTTTCTACACTGGCTCTATGAAGTGTCAAATGAGTGTATGCTCATAATAAAAATAAGGAGTACACATATAGGTTTTGTGTGTGTGTGTGTGTGTGTTTACATCTGATCTACAATTTGCTGGAGTGAAAAGTCCCCTGTTGTGAAAAATTTCTTGCTGCAAACATGATTTTGTTGGAGAGGAGTTTCACTGTACGCCGAGTCCAACTGTTTTGAATATTCAAGCCAGGGGTGGATGTGGTACCAGGCTGCCTTGAAGCTCCTCCTCCTGTCCCCCATCGGGGTCCTTGGACACAACTTGAGGTCTGGCTGCATTGGCGGGTCTTCTTTACCTTTGCTGAACGTCTGTGGAGAAAGACAAACCGAATAGATGTAAACGTAATTTCTGCATGGATACAGCATATACTGTACACTAAACTGCTACACTTCCACTGCTTAGGCACTCAGACACACACAATTGTCTAAAATGTATTTATAAATGCTATTTATTGATTGGATTAATTAAATAATTAATTAGTTTATGATATTCAGTAAATATAAATTATTACATTCTAAAGCCTGACCAGGGACTAAAATTGCAAGTAGACTGAAGCTAGATGTTTTAGATGCATCAAATTGTCCAAATTTTAAAAGGCAATGTCTTTTGTTAATAAAACATTAAAATAAAAAGAGATATTAAAAAAAAGTTATACATGCGCACACATGCAATGTCATACATATTGTTCTTTTTAATAAAACGTTAAAATAAAAAGGGATATTTAAAAAACAAGTTACGCGCGCACACACACACACACACAAAACAGAGCAGGATCGTGTTCTTTTCAGCATCACATACCTGATGGTCCAGTGCTTGTAGCACTTGAAGCACTTACATTCTCTGTCTGTGTCTCACACTCCGCTTGTATCTCAGTCTCAGCTTCCTCATTCTCAGGATCTTCATCTGTCTCTCTTTGTTGCTCTGTGTCCTCTCTCTGAAAATAAGTGTCTCCCGTGTCCTCTGACTCTCCCTCTCTGGTGCTCTCAGCTTGCTCCTCTTCAGCTCTTTCACCAGCGTCATCTGGCTCTGTCTCAGTGTCTGAATCATTTTGTTTCTTTTTCATGTAGAAATAGGACGTAATGTCCTTTTTTCACTTCATTTTTAACTTGAAATTGTTGACAGTGAAGAGGAATTACAACTAAGCAACCCGACTGCTGTGGGCTTGCTTGGTTTTGTGTTGTGGTCTTACCTTGACTATATAGTATCACTCGTCGTCATGATAATCTTGGGACTGCTTCTCTGCGGGCTGCTTCTCATCTTCGCTCTCGTCTTTTTTCAGTGGTGCAGCGCACTGAAGGGTCCGACTAGATGTTAAGCCACACTCTTTAGTTCCACCTTGGCGCCGGCGACTCGGCGCTACTGTATAATCAACGTTAGGGGACATACAGGGGGGTCCAGAATCAGTGCTACAGGGGCCACTGCCTCTGTAGCATGGCCCCTGTTGGCCCCTTCCCAGAACCGCCACAGGTGCTGCCGTGTCAAGGAAAATTCCAGTCCCAAATAAAGTCAGCATCCGTTTTTAATCAACAGCAAGTGAAGAAATACGCTCTTTTGCACATTCCCCCGCATTTGAACCACGGTTACTGCGCCCACCTCGCAGAATACTAACCACTATACGATTGAGGACTGAGAGAAGTTTTGGCGGGATCAAATTTCTATTGCTCTGGGCTATGCACTGAGCAGCCACCATGAAGCCTCTGTACATGCTGTGTTTGAACCAGCATTGCTGCGGCCACAGCACGTTCACTCTGCTAGTCAGAGTTGGCCATTGCAACTTTCTGAAAGAATCCCATATTTCTTACTACGCTCTAAAAATCAGCAATAACATAAAATGACCAACGTGGGAACACAAGCTGCACAAGAAACCAAAACCAAATACCGATGGAAGCAATAAAATTCCGAATAAACCAGTTTGTGTGAAGATAAATAAACGTCACAATCAAGTGTAAAATTTTTGTCTGAAAAACACCAATTCTAAATATGAAACTTGATGATAATGACATCCTTTTGCAGTCTGCAGCGCACTCCTCCTTCACCTCAAATGCTGTAAAAGACAATTGTGTAACTGGTCATTGCTAACTGTGAGGGTAGAGTCAAGGATTTGTAAACCCTGGGTGCCGTGTTCAAACCCAGCCTTACTCTGTTGTCTAAGAATTCCCCCCAAATGAGCTTGTGACATTTGACAGGGTTTCATTTGGTTTCTGGAACACAAAGAAAACATAGTGTTTGAATCAAAATGGTCACTGTAAATGAATAAGTCAAGTATGCTTTTTGCACGTGCTGAGACCAGGATTGCTGCAGCCACAACGCAGTGGGCTAATCACTATATGATCACGGCCTCACAGAAGATCTGGCAGGCACAAGTTTCTATTGCTCTGGGCTATGCTGCGGGCACAACGGGTTAACCACCACATGCAAAAAGAAAAGTCACACGAGCTGGCCAGGAGTCGAACCTAGTGTCTTCTGATCCGTAGTCAGATGAGTTATCCATTCCACCACTAGCTCCACGAATCTAAGTCAACATCTCTCTGTACTCCCGTGTGGCGGAAAATTCCGGTCCCAAAGTAGTAATCCCTATTCAGTCAACTGCAAAGGAATAATTCAAGTGTGCACTTAGCACAAAGCCTTGACCAGTATTTGGAACCAGGACTGTCGCGGCCACAAGGCATGATTTGTAACCACTATACAAACACGACCAGATACATCATCTGGCAGGCAGACGTTTCTATTGCTCTGTGCTATGCTGTGGCCACAACGGGTTTACCACCACGTGCAAAAAAAAAAAAAAAAGTAAAAAAATACACAAGCTAGCCAGGAGTTGAACCTGGCGTCTTCTGATCCGTAGTCAGATGCACCACTAGCTCCACGAATTTAAGTCAACATCTCTCTGTGCTACCGTGTGGAGAAATATTCCACTCCAAAATAAAGTTATAATCCGTATTCAGTGAACTGCAAATGAAGAAGTCAAGCAAGCTCTTTGCATGTAGCCGTGACTAGGATTTGAACCAGGGTTGTTGGAGACACAACGTAGGGTACTAATCACTTTCCTACCACCACATGAGGTAAGACCTGGCAGGCACATGTTTCTATTTTTCGAGGCTATGCTGCGGCCACAATGGATTCACCACCAAGTGCAAAAAAAAAAAAAAAAAAAAAAAAATCATCCAAGCTTAGCCAGGAGTCGAACCCATCGCCTGCTGTTTTGCAGTCAGACGCGCTATCCATTGCATCACTTGCGCCACAAATTGAGGATAACATCTCTCTGTGCTCCCGTATGGAGGAATATTCCAGTCCCAAATCAAGAAATAATCCCTATTCAGTCAACTGACAATGAAGAAGCCCAGGATGCTCTTTGCACATGCCGTGACCCACATATGAACCGGAGTTGCTACGGATTACCTAGGGCATTAACCACGATAAACCACGGCCTGAGATAAGATCGATCTGGCAGGCAAAATTTTCTATTGCTCTTGACTATGAACCGAGAGGCGACCGTGAATGCTTTGTACATGTCGTATTTGAAAGAGAGTGTCTGCGGCCACAACGTGCAAAAAAAAAAATTAAAAAAAAAAAAAAATTAAAAAAAAAAAGGTCACACGAACTAGCCAGACACATTCTTGGCACAATGCTTTTGCATGAGTCATACGGATAATATCATCACATTTGTAAAAATGTTCATTCACCACGGCAATGTAGCAAAAGTGACACTCAAATCCACCTTCTTCATCCTCTCGATCTCCGTTCTTGACGCTTGTACACACTTTTGGCGGAATACTCAATCGCAAGCTTGACATTTCAATCCCCCTTTCCGTGACACCATCTTGCATTCTGCACATTTTATCTCGGGTCCCGGGTTGGATTCTACGTCTCCATCTTTAATGATGCGGAGGCTTGGTAGATAGAGCAGCGAATGGAAATTGGCTCCTTTGGTAGGCACCCAGAATGTTGGAGCCATAACGTCCCAGGTCGTTAAAAAACCCAGATGGAAGTTGTTGGTTGAGAACTGTTCGTAGCCTTCTGGCACACCCAACACCCCTGGGAGGTCGTTCTCGAGTTGTGGCTGCTGCTACTACTACTACTACTAGTAATAAGAAAAATACATGTTTTCACAAATTAACTCATGACAGTCATTACCTATGAATTGTGGTTCAACCAAATTATTTAAAATAACAAAAAACAAAATGCAGGCCTCGACCAAACCCTGCACGTCTCAGGAGGTAGATTGGCACACTCTACATCTATTTATCTATCTATCTATCTATCTATCTATCTATCTATCTCAGTGATTTCCCATCTTAATTCAGTAAAGGCACACATTTTAAGTTCGGGAAAAAAAAAATCTCACAGCACACAACCAAACAAAAATGTCACAAAAAGTCAATTACAGTATATACTTTCTGCTATCGAATACAAAAGATTTTTCATTTTCTGTCAGCCTCTATAAAACACTGATAGAGATAGATACATGAACAAAGATATTATTTATTATAAAAAAACAATTTTTTGGCCAATTAAGTAAAATTTGATAATTTCTTGTGGCACACAAGTGCTCTTACACTAAATATACCTGAGCACTGGTTGAGAATCACTGATCAATTGACTATCTATGGATTTTCACTATTTGCCTGCTGGCCCTGTCTCTATATCCCGCAAATAGTGGAGTCCACTGCATTCAAATATATATTGTAGCAATATTTATTTAGATTTTGTCTTCATAATACAGTCATACATTTTAAGGTAATTGTCTCAATCCTGTCTATGGCTATATAAACATGGAACCTACCAAAACAAAGGTAAGAAGACTCTTTTTTTCACCACACAAAAAAAGTTCATTTCTACCATTTCTTTAGTCATCTGCAGTAGTACATAGGCAAAAACATTTATTGTTTTGTCAAGACATATTTCAGGTTTGACATTTTTTTGCTTTTATGACAACTCAAACATGAACGGTGTTTTTCAGAAAAAAAAAAGAAAAGCATTGAATGATTGGGGAAAAAATGTTCCTTCGAGTATCAATTTACAATTTTTAAATTTGCCCAAAATCGATGAGCATCGTGCATATACAGGGGGGTGTATTCGTATGTGAAAAAGTGCGCGTGTGTGTGTGTGTGTGTGTGTGTGTGTGTGTGTGTGTGTGTGTGTGTGTGTGTGTGTGTGTGTGTGCGTGTGCAATTCCACCCCTAGGGGCTTTCAAGGGCACACGACAGGATACACACCATATTGTGGAACACACCGCTACATGGTGATAGTTCTTTTTGAACAAAGCCAATGATAAAAGTCAGTTACAAAAATGTTTCGAGTTCATTCACTGAGATGTAGGATTGTCCCAGTCAGCACGATGCCAGCCAAAATCATCCATCTGCTCCCTGCATGACCTGCACTATACATACATAAAAAATGGCCATAAAAATATATTTGCTTCTTTGAAAGTGAAGTAAAGAAAAAAATACTTTCACCTTTCCTTGCCCTGCCAACAGGAGTAATGGGAGTGATTCTCCTGCTGGATCCACAACCTAATGAATGGAAATATGTACATTACCAAAAAATACTTTTTTGTTGTTGCAGTCACACACAGGACATTTTCTGCACTTCACACTTGCATTTAGACAAGTTTACACTGACCATTCGTTCCTTTTTGCACGACATCCAATGTTGCATCTGATCTATCACTGATAATTTCATTTATTCAGCTTTAGTGTGGACTGCTATCTATAACCCCACATTACGGAACATAATTCATATGTGCAGTACACACAAGTAGTGGCAATAGATGCTATATGCAGTGTAGCATCTGCATGTGACATGGGCTGATGGGAGTGTGAAAGGAGCAATTTGCAAGTTACAAAATTTAGCATGGGCACAGGTTTGCTCTTACCTCTTTTGTCTTTTTGTGGGGGCTCAGGAAATGAGTCTCTGATGCTCTGAGCTAAGCCAAAAGGGGAAACATTCCTCATTAGAGTCAGAATCAGCATCACTAAAACAATCCGAGTCCCTGTCTGATGTAGCCCCAGTTCAAAAATACGGTTGAGGTTGTCGCACAATTGCCGCGTGCCCCCCTCGATCGATGATGTGTCTACCTCGACGCCGCTCGCCCCCGATGCATCAAGGAGGCTCAGGAGAAGAGCACCAAATAAAACGATGCACACTCTCAGCGTCGCATGAAAAGGGTCTATACCAGGGGTCGAGAACCTATGGCTCGCGAGCCAGGTGTGGCTCTTTAGATGAGTGCATCTGGCTCACAGATAAAACAAAATATTCTCGCTTGTTTAATCCATCCATCGATTTTTCACTGCTCATGTCCTATTCAGGGCTGCAGTTGCAGGAGCAATTTTAATTACTATTCCAGTTTGCATCAGTCCATCTTAGATGATTTAGGCTAGGGCATTGAAAAGCCGGCGGCATTTTTCAATGTTGTTGATAAATGGCTTTTGCTTTGCAGAGGAGAGTTTTAAGTTGCACTTACGGATCGAGCACAGTGTATATAAAACAAAATATTCTCGCTTGTTTGATGCATCCATCGATTTTTCACTGCTCATGTCCTATTCAGGGCTGCAGTTGCAGGAGCAATTTTAATTGGATGATACTGGCTTACGTAGGGCGTTGCTGTGGAAACAGGTATACGCCCCCTCATTAGCTCAAAGCTAATCCTTCGATGAATAAGATGGCCATGCTACGTTCGCATCAAAATACCCTGCGGGAGCACAGAGCACTTTTCCAGTTTGCATCAGTCCATCTTAGATGATTTAGGCTAGGGCATTGAAAAGCCGGCGGCATTTTTCAATGTTGTTGATAAATGGCTTTTGCTTTGCAGAGGAGAGTTTTAAGTTGCACTTACGGATAGAGCACAGTGTATTTACTGACATTGGTTTTCTGAAGTGTACCTGAGCCCATGTGGTGATATCTTAGCAATGACAGTGTAGGACACCAACACACTATGACTTGTGTTCTCGGTGATAGCGGGAATACATGGACCAAGTAGGTAATCCCATCGTACGCAATTTACTGCATGGCACAGCATCGAATTACAAACAATAACGCTAGGCTAATAACAACAGCCTATACATCTTCCTGTTCTTCCAGTCACAATGGGTCTCATCTTCCAGTCCATGTCCAGCCATTCGGGCAAAACATTTTCTGCATCCTGAGCATCTGGCTCGTACATGGATGGTCCAAAATACATCTTGCCAACAATTTCCTCTTGCTCCAACTCTTCAAACACCTGGATCCCCTCAGATAAGTTTGAAACGTCGCTTTCCGAAACAATTTCTGACTGGCTTTGTACACTTTCCAGAGTGAGCCCCGCTATTGTCTTGAAGTGATGTCACACTTCCGGGTTTGATGCTCGTCAGGATCTCACTTCGGGAAAATGATTACTTTGTCAAATTTACGAAATATAAATTCTTTTTTTCATAGTTTATTTAATGTATTCTGTTTAATTACTTAACTTGTGATATAAAAATATTTTCTTTGGGATTTTCAAAAATTACTTCATACTTGACCTTTAAATGTACTTCCACCTCATTTTGTGGATACCCTGAAAGGCTAAGGAGCAGCAGACAGGACTTGAGCTCATGCAAACTATCAAGGTAGTTAAAGCACACAAACACATGGAGAGGGAGAGTCCCACAGAAAGAATATTGCTTTTTAACAGTTTTAGTATATCCAAAAATAAAAAATGAATTAGCATTTGTGATGTTAGTATATTATGACATTATCGGCTTGGTTATTACATTTGCAAAGTGTTTTTTGTTTACCAGGCCTATGATGTAATATTCAACCAATGACCTAATAAATTTCAGTCAGTTATTAAAATAAAAAGTTATTAACGTTTTTGCCCAAAAGTTAATATGTGAGAGCACTGGCATTTTTAGACAATTTTACCTGGGTGCCAAGGGGTGGCATTCGAAAATAAATAAATATTAAAAAGAACACATTTTATTCACACTATGTAAAAAGTATAAGGAACATTTGAGTGATTCATTGCCAACTGCCTGGGGTGAAAAATGATGGGTCAAGGCGTTTGGTAAGAGTGGCAACTGCCACCCTGTAAAACCACCTATGCATTGTAGGTAGGTTCAGGGATTTTATTATTGTCACGATTCGGACTAAACAAATCAAGTTTTGGATCCCAAAAGTGTAGACTCCAGACAAGGTCTCCTAAGCAAAAATTTTTTTAATGTACAAAAATTCGCACCGACAAAGTAGTAACATAAAGCGCTGGTCAAAACAAGGACCAGGGAGCACAAAAACAAATACCAAAAAGCGCTTGTACAAAAGGCAAGGGAGGAAAACAAGAACCGAGAATACAAACGAAAAACAATATATCAACTACACGCAAGAAAAAGCCAAATCACAAAACAAAGCCATACTTACACAATAAGTGGTACTGAGAGTTCAAAAGCGAAAACAACGAGATCTATAGCAGAGTCTGTGAGCAAGGAAGCATCAAGGCATAAACAATACTCCGACAACCAGCAGACAGATTGCGGGTCCTTAAATACACAGTTCCTTAATTGAAAGATTGGCAGCAGGTGTGCAGCCAGAAAGTCCGCTCAGTCTGCCACCTGCTGGCCAGGCCAAGATCAGGAACATGACAATTATATTATTGATCAGTTATTACATTATTGGCCAATTGCATTTGAAAAACGGAACACTTATTACATTGTGGGCTATTATTACATTAGAGCAGGGGTGGCCAACCCGCAGCTCATGAGCCTCATCCGGCTCTTTGGCTGGTTCCATGCAGATCCCGGGCTTTCACATGACAAGCGTAGAAAACGCTTCAGCGGTGGCGCTGCCATTCAACGGCTCTAAGTACAGCAGAACTTACAATGTCAGTCCATTATCATTCCTGTTACTTGATTGACATACAGGGCAACCAGTCAGATGACAACTGACTCATGCGCAAGCAACCGCTAAGCGATAAGCTAGTTTGCCAGTTATCTCTGATTTTAAGGCAGGAGTGCCCAACACGCCGATCACGATCGACCGGGAGCCAGTGGACTGGTCCCAAGTCGACCGCGAGGGGTGGGAGGAGGAAATGGAGGGGGGGGGTTAAGATTTGTGTGACTGCGTGTTTCGGTTTTGTTCATGTTCGGGGCCGTTCCAGCTGTTGCTCATCGTGGCACGCATGTGTGCGTGCATATGCGCACGTGTGCATGGTCGGGCACCCGTGTGCGTGCGTATGTGCTTGCACGTGTGCGATCGGATCCCGGAATCAAACCCCGGACATCTGCACTGTGGGGCGGACGTGCTAACCAGTTGGTCAACTGGAACCTTAATATTATAGTGAAATAATATCTGTCTGACATTGTCACAGAAAATTATCCCTGTAAATGCAGAATTGTTGATACAGCTCTTATACTGGATCAGAGGGTGCAGTTGTAGCTAAGGTTGGAGTCATTAAATGCATGTTGTGAAAGAAATGAGGCATGTACTACAAATTGTGACTGAAACATTTATTGCATCTTCGTCCTGATCCTGTATTTGGAGTGTCACAGGTGTGTTTCCTGGCAAAAAAAAAGGATGGGGCATCACATTTTGGTGGAATTTTCTTACCTCCAGTACACGTGCATCTCTGTATTGCGAATGAGTCCTCTGCTCCTTTGTATTCAGCATGGAAAACAGCTCCAAACATTGTCGACGAAGCACTAAACACACAGCGTTGCATTCCACTTTTTTTATTTAGAAACTCAATTGTGATTGGTGTGAAAAAAAACTGTCTTTCAACAGTTACCTGAATTTTCTGCTTGGAGGCACAGTGGTTCTTTTTCTCTCTCTTCAAGTTTCTGTGTCAGCATCTTGTTCTCAGTCAATATTCTTATTCAAATCACAATGACAGTAAAGTTAGAAAAAGGGGCAATAAATAAAATGATAGATCAATAAAATGACACTGATCTGACCTGCTGCATCTCTGCTCCCATAACCGCTCAGACGTCTTCATCTGCAATTTGTTCAAACTAAGCTCCCACTGCAAGCTGTTCACTTCCTTGAGCAGATGATGCATACATATTTACTCATTTTAACCAGAAATTAATGAGCGTTAATAAAGGAAGAATTCAGCAGTAAAATGTAATGAACAATGGTTTATGACTTATTTCTTATTAACAGTGGTTTATGACTTATTTCTTCACATCAGAGGCGCATATGGAATTTTGGAACTTGGGGGAGGATGGGGAACAAGTTTGTAAGAGTAATAATCAGTTTATATATATATA